CAGTGAGAGAGTGGAAATAATTCTTCCAGATAGAGAAGACAGAGACTTGCCCAGCTGGGCAGTTCATATGTTTGTCTCAGGTGGCACAGATACCATACTCACCACCCTCAGTTTAACTCTGGGGACACTGAAATGCAGAAAGCCTGGGTAACTTTCCAAAGAAACACAAGAAGAAGGAGCTGGTAGTGTGTCCATAGAGCCTTCTTACTAGGCCAGGCTTCACCGCCCACCAGGAGTGAGAAGCAGGACCCGTCCCCTCAGCAAGTATGCCTCAGCATAAAAAATGGGAACAGATTACAGGGTTCTGTCCTGACTCTCTGCTGTGTCTCTTTCTGTGGCCCTCTATGGTAAAGAACTTGTCTGAGACTGAAGTGACACCATATGTCCTCACTCATTTGGGGTCTGGCTCAAAGGCTCACAGTCAAGGACCTGGGAACCCTGAGCCTTGCCTTCCCATCTGAGAGCCATTACACAGATTAATAGCATCTTCCCTGACCTCTTTCCCATCCAAGGTTAAGGTAAGCACTGTATAAGCTGCTAATGCTGTTGGCACACTGGGGTCTTCTCACAGAAGCCTGTTCAGGGTCAGGGCAGGTTCAGGGTCAGCTATAAAAACATAAAGGGATTATCCAGTCTCAAGCCTTATTTCCATCCAGCAGTCAAACAAGTCAGACTATGAAAATTGGTAAGTTTTTTAGATGGAGACTCACCTTCTGAAAAAATGGGAGGAAAAGAGCATATGTTTTCTATGAAGTTCCTAGAACTATATTTTCTCTGTGAGATATTTTAAGTATAACTGAATTTCATAAATACAACATTTGGCAACACTCAAGCATGTTTTTGTTCTGTTGTCTATGGCAGCAAAATAATGTATTCCATATCTTTTTGTTTCCCCAGAAACTTCTAGAACTCAACAACCTTCATTCTCTTATGTCTGTGGTGTCAGCATTACAAAGTGCTCCCATCTTCAGGCTGACAAAAACCTGGGCTGTAAGTTAACCTCCCTCAGCTGTCCCTTTGATTTTGGCCATCCTGTCCTTGCTGAATGTCTACATGGCTTAAGCCCTGGGCCTTCCCTCACTGGCCATATGCTTTGCTAAGGACAGTCACTGTGAACTAAGGAGATGTTCTCTGGGCATCCCCACAGCTCAAATACCACAACCCCATTTGGGTTCCAGGGAATTGGGAGGGCACTTGTGTGGCTGGGTTTGGAAGCTTCAACAGATCTTCCTGGACCTGTTGACATTATCTATGCTGGCTGGGCACAGCATGTGACTTCTGCCCTTGGCTTGGCCAGTTTTTTTTTTTTTTTTTTTTTTTTTTTTTTTTT